GCAGGAAAGTGTAATTAGCTGATGCTTCCTGCCCTGGCCCTCGAGGCTGCCCTCATTACAGAGCACAGTCGCCCAGCACCGCAGCAAGCTTCGTGGTCAAGTGCTTGGCATAGCAAGGAGGGTGACAAGTTTGAGGAACATTTATGGAACAAAACTGGAAAAAATAAGAGAAAGGAACTGGAGAAAAAGAATGATCATTTAATATAACCTACTTGTACAGGCCTTTGAGATGCAGAAAGGCCAAGCATTTGACCCCAAAGCACACAGCAGCTGAGTGGCAGAGCCCCAGGCCAGAAACCAGGCCTCTCCTATCCACAGGTCCCGGGTTCTTGGCCCCTCCATGCTGTCCCCAAGCCAGTCTTGAACTCTGCAACCTCCTAGCCATCTTGGTTGCCTTCTTTCCAGTCCAGTGCTGTCCAATAAAATTGTATGTGATGACAAGTTTGTCCTCTGTTTGCACCACCTGAGCAAACACACAGCACCCCTGCACTGTGCAGGGACACAGAGCTGTGGGACCAGGGCTGGGGGAGACAAGCTAGGGCTGAGGAGGAAAGGCAGGGAGGCACTGGGCCCAGAGCAGAAGCGGGCAGCAGGTGCAAAAGATCTTGCTTTCTATGACAACAAATCTTCTATCTCCAGAGCCACAGGGAGCCACTGAAGGACTCTGGGCCCAGGAATGAAATATTTTGATTGCAGCTTCTGTGAGCTTCCTAGGAAGCCAGAGTTCCTCTGAGTACTTCTGACACGCCAGTAATTCCAGCTCTCATCACCATCCCACACAGTTTCTCACTTTGCGGCTCATGATGACATGCCAGCCTGGACGAATCCTCCTCTCCCTCCAGGCCTTAAGCCACCGTCTCAGACACCCTCCTCAGGATCCACACCTTCCCTGCACAGGTCCCCAGAGTCTGTCTGGCCTGGGCAAAAGGCTCTGTTTTTCCATCCTTGCTGATATCAGTTTCTCTTTTTCGAGCCCCAGCCCTTCCCAAGCCTATCCTCAGTTCCCCAGCTCCCAGCTCTGGAGCCTTCAGAAATTCTTATCACATAACCACAAGTCACTCAAAGGCCCTTAGGCCCCATTACCAAGACTGGCCTCCAGGGCAAGGCTTCCCTTTTTCAGCTTTGGAACAGCCCTGTCATAGGGAACCCCCAGAGAAAGGAGGCCAGGCATTCCCAGCCTCATCAGGAGAGACCACTGAGCCCATGGGTGTGGATATACAGACACGTGTAGAGAGAGAATGAAGGATGAACAGCAGCCTAAGAAGACTCATCCGGAGGAGAGGCCCTCCTTTCCTTCATGCCCCTCTGCAGTGAGGCTGAGTGCACCCTAAAGAACCCAAACTCTTCCTTGGTTCACCTGCCCTGGCTCCCCAAGCCTCTGAGCCTGAGCCAGGCTGGTGTGTGCTCACTGGAACATTCATTCTGCAAGTATGTCTGGCTGTTCTGTGCTATGAGGCCTCCCTCCACAGGCCAGGCCTCAGGCCAAATGGGGAGCAGGGCAAAGAGGAGGTGCTGAAACTGTGACACAGGGATGCCATTCCCATAAGGCCATGCGGCCGGCCAGCCATGAACCAGATGCCTCTTGTCCCCAGGGATGAGGTTTTGGAGGAGGCTGGGCAGAACTCTGAGCTAACAGGAGACTGAGTGGGACCGACAGGCAGAAGGAAGGAAGGAGGCAACACAGGCAGCAGCAAATACAGGGGAGGAGGCAGATGAGAGGGAGACAGGTCAGAGGGCAGGAGCAGTGACATGCAGGAAGCAATGAGAGGCAGGACAAAGAGGACACAAGACAGCCTCCCCTTGGAGATTCTGAGCACTCGAGCCTCCTCCTGTTCCTGGCCTCTGGCCAGCCCTCTCTGTCTCCCGGATAAGCTGAACTGTGTCCTGTCACAAGTTACAGGGACCAGAAGCAACAGGGAAAGACTTGTGGAAAGAGAGAGGAGAGACTGAGATTCTCGTCCCTAGACCACTAAAGAACCAGCAAGACTCCAGAGTCCCATAAGATGCGCACACACACCCCTAGGTGAAGTTACCCACGCTCATCCCTACCTGAAGCCCTACACTGTTAATTAGGACACCCAGAAGGGATCTGGAGACTGCCCAGGTACATAAACACCCACCAAGAGGCCATCAGGCCTCTGCTCCTAGCTCTCAGCAGGCTTCCAGCTCCCCTGGGGCACAGGACTCTGGGTGGACCAGGCTCCTCTTAGGGGCAAGGAGGAAGTCCTGTCCAGGGATCGAGGAAGGTGGCGGTCCTCATGGATAATGCGAGGGGAGCCCCTGTTCAGAGTCAGTGGCCTGGATCAGATGACACTCAAGGTGTGGAGAGAGTCATGGCTGGAGCTAGGACAGGGAAAGGAACAAAGGACAAAGAAGGACAGGGAGAAGGAGGCAGGGCTGGACAGTTCTGGGAAGTTTTGTTTGTTTTAGGTTTTGTTTTTGTGGTTTTTTTTTGGCTGCCATTCCTGTTTGGCAGCCAGAACTGAGCCAGCCAAAGACTCCCTGAAAACGGCATCCAAGTTAGACTGCAGACCAGAGAGGAGGAGCAAGCAGGCCCCCACATCCCTGCCCAGGAAAGGATGCCCTCCATTTCTCAAGGAGGGAGGACATCTCCAAAGAGAGCCATATGGTGCCCCAAAACGCCAGCCTGGAAGCCAGACCTGTTAATTAGCTGTGACTTGACCACTGCTCAGGGACAGCAGTCAGAAAGCAGCAGCAGATTCAGGTGTGCAGAGATGTTTACGAGATCTGAGCATCTGGCTGAAAGAGCTGAGTGGGAAGATGGATCTGACTGGGGCCGACAGCAAGCAGCAGGAACCAGCCTCCCTTCCTCTCTTCTGCACTTCCTGGGGCTCCAGCTCTTAGAGGTAACAGCAGAAGGGTTAGAGCTCCTTCTCCAGCTGTCAACAGCCAATGCATGGAGGACTACCTGTGTGTCACTGACAACTTGTACACCCCAACGCCTAGCACAGACCCCTCGCCAGGCTCCTCCTTTGTACTGAGGGGTGGTAAGTTCAAGCAGCTCCCTCAAACAGTGGTCATAGCAAGCACTGAGGAAGCACTGGGGTCACAGCTGGCATCTAGTTGGTTGTTTTGGTGCTGACAGAGCCCAGATGCCACTGCCTGCCCCTTCACTTCCCCATGAAGCAGGCAAGGGTGACCAGGGTGGGGAAGGGCCTGGTGTTATTTGGTCACATGCCATTGGGATACCAGACCAGGGCAAAGATGGCAGAGGCTGGGGTGGCTGTGCTCACCGATGTTGAGTGGGGCAGGGTTCATGTGGCCAAGTGGAGGCAGACACCATCACACAGAGCATAGGTCTTTTGCAAATGGAAAGAGGGCTAAGAGATGGATGGAGGGAGGAAGGAAGAGGAGAGAAAGGGTAGAAAAAAGAATTAACAAGTCTTACATACACGTACCAACTTCCCACAATGAATGTAATTGCTGTGTACTGCAAATGTACACTAAAAATTTTAAAACATGTACTAAACAAAAAAATTTTTTGGTACTAGGAATCGAACTCAGGACCTTGCACTTCCCAGGCAGGCACAGTGCTGCTGAGGTATATCCCCAACAAAATTTTTTATTTTTAAAAATTAAAAAAAAATTGGGGGTGCTGGGGATTTAGCTCAGCGGCATAAGCACCTGTCTTGCAAGCAGGCGGTCGTGAGTTCGATCCCCGGTACCGATAAAAATGAAAAAGACAAAACAAATTTTTTTAAATTTTAAAAGACTATCACAGTGACCCAGTCACCTCGAAGTGCCTCGCCAACCCAACCCAGAAGCGGATCTTGGGTTCCAGGATTAGGAAAGGCCCATGGTCTCAGTGCAGAGTCCTGAGTCCTGGTGATGCAGTAACTACGTGTGGGCAAAAGGTTTGGACTGAGGCCCAGGATGCTGCTATGAGACTCCTGTCTTCCCTCTGGTCCTAGTGAGGGCTGGGACCCCTTCCATCCCTGACTATCTCAGTCCCTCTCAAATCCACTCCTCTCTCTGCTTGAGGGTAGTATGCTGTGCACAGGGAAGACACATAGAGCAGGCCACTGGGGCTGCCAGGCCAGGCAGAAAGGAAGAGTCTGGCAGAAGGGGTGGCAATTCCCTGGAAGGGAAGAGCGGAGACTCAGGAACTGGGGGGCTGAGAGACAGGCTTTGGCTGGCGGCTCTGCTGCCCCATAGAAGAAGCCTTATGGGGACCACCTGTGCCTTCCCCTTGTACTGCATGAAAGGGGTGAAAGGGCTAGAGAAGCAAGAGGGAATGAGCTGGAAGAGGAGAACATTCCGCAGCCCTGAAGAGAGCTACGCTTGACCAAGGCCATCTTGGCTGGGAAGGCGAGCACACTAGGTCGAAGCTGGTGACCCGACAGGTTCTTTGCTAAGTTGCCTATGGAGCCCAGGTTTTCATCCCCACTTCCCATATAAGGACAAAAGTCTGGTAACCTGCCCGAGGTGGCACCAGAGGCAGGCAGCCAAGCTGAATGTTGAACCCAACCTCACTTTGCCACCATCTCCTCCCGCCCTGAGACAGTGATGTGCACATAGCAGGCAGGAAATTATGAGCAAAGGCAGGCAGGAAAGGAAAACTAAACCAGGGAGACTCTTTAGCAGCTAGAAAATAAATAATAAAGGTGCTGTTTCCCAATGCCAGGCTGGCACAGTGCCCAGGACTGCTGCCCTGCCATCAGGAGCTCAGGGCTGCACTTGCCTCATCTTTTCCAGAATTACGTGGGCCCAGCTACATCAGCCTTCAGGTATGCAGGAGCTCTGTGGTGACAGGCTTCTCTCTTCTCTCTGCTTCCTTACTAAATCTGCCTTCTTCTTGCAGCCTCCCACTCCCAAACCATCCTGACAGCCCGGGCTTGGTCCCTTCCCCAAGCCAGCCAAGTTTAGTGGGGGGCCTGTGACCAGCCCTTCTGCAAGGCAGAGCCCCCTGCAGGGGAGGAGGCAGATGTGTGTGTGCTGGGAGAGGGGGAGGAGCACCACATCATCTAACAGGTTGGTCAGGCTGGGAGGCGTCCCGCCCTCCTGCAGCTAATGAGCATTGTGTGACAGGTGTTTGCATCTCAGTCCCCAGCAGGCTCTGGCTGCGACAGGAGGCGGCCGCCTGCCACCCGCCTTCCCTCTAAGGCTCGCTTGCTTGCTTGCTCACTGCACCCCACCAGGCCCTCCCGCTCCCAGGCCGGGGGTAGGGGCACCATGGCCTGCCGATCCTGCGTCGTTGGCTTCAGCAGCCTCAGTGGCTGTGAGGTGACCCCTTTGGGCAGCCCCCGGCCTGGGGCCTCTGGATGGAGCAGCTGCGGGGCCCCTGGGTCAGGGTTCAGCTCCAGAAGCCTCACAAGCTGTTGGCCAGCTGGCACCATCCCCAAGGTGACGGTGAACCCCAGCCTTCTGGTGCCTCTGGACCTCAAGGTAGACCCAGCTGTCCAACAGCAGAAGAACCAGGAGAAGGAAGAGATGAAGATCCTCAATGATAAATTTGCCTCCCTGATTGGCAAGGTGAGCAGACGTTGGTGGAGGGGCAGGGGACCAAAAGATGAAGAGTTGCCAGACGTGGGCAGGTGGTTGAGCTCTGCTTCCCTGAGCATTGGTCACCATGCCCCACCCCTCCCTCCAGCCAATGGGGTGGCAGCATGGCTCCCTGAGCAGGCTAACTCTGAGCAGAGAGATGGAGAAGGAAGTCCTGGTCCCTCCTGGTGTCAGGAAACAAAGGAACCCCAGGGTGGTCTCTGGGGGTCATGTCATGTGGCCTGGGTCACCCTATCCCCTCAGTGAGCTAGGGAGAAGCACTGAGCATTCCAAGGGAGTGGCTCCCTCAGAAAGGCTCAGGGAAGAACGGGCTTCAGTCCTGCTCCCATCCATCCCACAAGCCTCTGGCCCCACAGCGTCTCTCTCAGGGTAGCCCATCAGCTTCCCACGAGAAGAGCTGGCTGGGCCCAAGGGGTGGGAGGCTGCTGCTCGGACAGCGGCAAGTTGTGGGTCAGGGGAGCCTGGGTATATTAGGAGGCAGGAATGCAGGGAACAGATGCCTAGAGTTAGAACCATGCAGCCTCCTGTAGCCCACCTGAACAGAGGGAGCAAAGACCTGCTACCTGCAGCCCCCAAGCTTCCTTGACTCCACTGCCCACAGCCTGCAGCTGGTCTGGAGCACTCTTCCCTCAGGCAAGGGAGCTCCCAATGCAGCCCTGTCCGCCTCCCAGACCTGCTCCTCACTCACAGCTCTGAGAAGCCTCTTCTCAGCCCTCCCAGTCCACTCCTTCCTGTCCTGCCCAAGAATAACCATCATAATAGTAATTGTCATCATTGTAGCTAATTGTTTACTATACGCTGGGCACTGTGCTGGATGCTTCACATACTTATCTCTATTTCCTTTCACCGCAAGCAGACATTTTGTGCCCATTTTACAGATAAGGAAAACTTTGCCTTCCTGACCCTTCCAGAAAACAGGCTCAGCCTCCTGCCCCTGACTCTGCCCCTGTCTGCTCCTTGATCTCCTCTTCTCATAGCTGGTTACCCCATGGGTTGGAAGCTCACAGAGAGGGCAGGGAAGGAGTAATGAATGTGGAGCAGCTCTTCAAATCTGGGGTCCTGAGGGCCCCCTCCCTGTGCTGTCCTAAGGGTCCCCAGCAGGAACTTGGCAGAGGGGATGTGATTTGACCTCCACAGCAATACTGCACTGGCTGGTATTTTCCCACCTGTGGAGAACAGAAAATTGAGGACCACGGAAGTTAGGTGTCTTGCCCAGGGCCACATGACCAGCATAGGGTGTAGATCAGACTTGAACTCAGGTTGGTGAAGCACAAAACCTGCGCCCCTGAGACGGGGGCCATTTCTTTCCTCCCCTGCTCACATGTCTAGATCAGAGTTTCCCATACACATGTGAGGGCCCAGAGAGGAGTTGGGAGGGGAGGATGCTGCCTGGGGAGCAGAACGCTGCTTCCCACAGCTGCCGGGGGAGGTAGGGCCCTGCCAGGCGCCTCCCCACCGAACCCGGCTTCCTCCTGGCTTACTCCCTTAAAAGGAAGGCTGCACTCTGCTCTGTAATTTGGCTCCGAAGGATGAGTGGCTTTTCTCCCTTGAATGCCAGTGTTGATGTCAGCCTGTGCCTATGTGTGGGGACAGGGTGGGAGCAGGTGGGTATGGGCACAGGGAGGGGACACTCAGGGTTTGGGTCCGGTGCCCTGGGGCTAGGAAGGTCTTTAGTAGACCTAGAGCCTCCAGCCTTCAAACATGGCCTTCAAGCTGAGCGCCCTTTGTGGTGAAATACAGAAATGTCAGCACTGTGAGGCCCTTGTCCCCACCACCATCACCAGAAGGCTGTCTCCTAGTAAGAAGTGAAAGCAGGCAGTGGCTCAGAAAGTGAAATTTGGATCACCATCAATGGATTTAATCCTGGCTCCACCACTGGATGACTGTGCAGTCTCAGGCAAATGACTTAATCTCTCTGAGCCTCTGTGCATGTCAATATAATGGGCTCATCAATTCAATGGGACAATTTTTGAAAGCAGTTAGAACACACCTACTACATGATACATGTTTCATAGCAGGTGAATGAAAAGTAAAGTAAAAGGTTCTGGCCCCAGTTGCTCCTGGATTCCAGCTAGCTCCCTTGGGGGAGGAGCCCAGAGAAGTAGGGAGGGCGGAGGTGCCCTAATGGGGCGGATGGAGAGAACTTGGTGAGTAGGGATCTTCGTGGAGCTGGAGAGAGATGGGGAGGCCCAGGATAAGACGCAGTGCAGGGTGGTACCATTGAACAGAAAGGAAGGCAGGGTATCTCGCCCCACACTCCCTTCCAGGCCCTCTAAAGCAAGAGGAAGACCAGGAGGAAGAGAGGGGAGGAAGGGACACGTCCAGGAGCTGGCAGAGAGGCCTGGGGGCAGTGCTGTTTCTCCTACTTATTGGCTGTGTTTCCTCGAGGGAGCCACTTCTCCTCCCTGTGCCTCAGATTCCATGGGGGCCCCAAGTTCCTGCTCAGGGAACAAGTGGCAAGGCCACGGCAGTGAGATAAAGACAGGAATGGCAGCAGGAGGGCAGGGGATGAAGGGAAGGCAGGGTCCGCTTCCCACAGGGGCTGCCAGCCGGGCCTCTTGACCTGCAGACAGCAGAGCCCATGCAGGTGCACGGAGGAAGGACTGTCCAGGGACAGTCTGAAGAGGCTACAGGGAGAGACGCACCCCCAAAGAGTAGCAGCCAAGTGCCCAGAGACAGAGAGACAGAGAGATGGGGATCACATCTTCCTCTAGGATGAGTGACGGCAAAGGTGTCCATCTGCCTGGATGCAGAAGGACACAGACCAGCCCTTCCTGAGAAGGGGTTGTGTGGTGCATCGGTGAAGGCAAGAGATCTGACTAGGGCCTGCCTGGCCCAAAGGACTGCCAAGCAGACTCAAGGAGCAGAGTGATCTCCCCGCCCAGATGCTCCCCAACTCCAGCCAGCAGCTCCAGCTCAGGCCGCTCAGATTTCCCCTCTTCCCCACCAAAAAAAATTACCTTCCCCACGCTCTCTACTCAAGCATAGTCTAGAACCACGGAGTTGTGCCACACTGAGTTCTGGGCCTCTGGGCCTCAGTTTCCTCATCTGTAAAATAGAGAGCCAGCTAGACACCTCTGGAGCATAGAACATTGAAGTTAGACAAGGGAAGAACTTCCTGGTGTGAAGGTTTCTCTGTTGTTTATGGGTGGAGGAAGGAGTCTCACCTCTCTCTTGTCACCCCACCCTTACTGTAAACACAGGACTCCTGCTTGTCAAAACTGAGAGAAGGTGGGGTGAGCAAAGGCCTCCCCCCAACAACATTCCCTCTCACACACACTAAGCAAGCAGACACCTTCTTGCCCTCCATCCCCACTGAACCTGTTTGGCTGTGACAACAGTGGGTGGCAGGCTTAAGGCAGCTTCAAGAGGAACTTACCAGTGCAGATGGGAGGTGAGCAGAGAAACGACAGCCGACAAATGTCATTGTCAAATGCCAGTAACCAGCACTGCCACTGGCCTTGTCTACTATGAATGTCAAATGAGGCTTCCCAAAATCATGAGAGGGTCTTGGAAGATAAAGGAAAATGTGGAGTGTGGCTAGAGCAGCAAGAGAGAAGGGAGAGGGCCAGGGGTGGTCAGCCCAGGCAACAGCTGTTGGGGAAGCCTTTCTGGGAAGCTATGTGGCCCTAGACAAGTCACCCAACTCCTTGCCTCAGGGTCTCTATGAAACCCTCTGTAAATAAAGGGTAGAGAGTAGCTAGGCCCCAGGCTTCTGGCAGCTCTCAGCCGTGGTCCTGGAGCTGGGGCCAGCTCCAGGTCATATGTCTGTGGTCACAGGAAGCAACACAACTGATCACAGAGCCCTTATGACAAAAATAGCCCAACTGTGCAATAGCAGGGACAGCCATGCCTCAATAGCCTATCCATATCCTGGGCTTCAAGAGCAGGGACCCCAAACATGGAGCCAGTAGCTCCCAGTCTTCCAGGAGGGAGGCCGATAACCAGGACACATGAGAAGCAGAGGAACTGAGGTCTTGATGATAGAGGGAAGGAGGAGTTTTCCAAGCTGAGTCTCGGAGAGCTTCCTGCAGGAGGATTTCCGGGGCACACAAGAGGAGGAGAGGCAGGCAGTGCTGGCCACGGAGGAGAGGACAATGCCCAAGAGAGGCTGGAGGCTGGATGGACCAGGGAGGCCCAGGAACATCAGGCTGGCCTGAGGGAGGGGAGAAGAGACCTGAGAGAGATCCTGGATGGCATGCTGTTGCCTGGGATGTGGTCTTTGAGCCACCAGAGTGCTGGTGGAAGCCCCAGAGCAAGGCATGTGAGGAGCCAGAGGGCTCAGAGTCCTAGCATCTTCATCCTCAAGGCAAACCTGACCGGAGCCAGAGGCAGAATCCTGCTCAACAAGGGAAGCTAGTGTCTTGGGGCCCAAGTGACCCAAGAAACACTAGGAAACCTATGCTGCTATGGTTAAGAAATTCTCAGTGCAAACTGCCTGGATTCCAGGCCTGCCTCTGCCACTTGCTAATTTCATGACCTTGGGCAATTCTTTGACTTCTCTGTACCAGGTTCTCACATCTGTAAAAAGTGCTTGTAATACCAATGCTGTGGGCTGTTACAAGCAGCTGCCTAATGAGTTAAAGGTGGCAAACATTCAGAAACAGGCCTGGCACACAGTAGGTGCCACACAAACATGGGCTGTCATTACTATTCCAAGCACATCAGCAGGGTCTGCCCCCAACACCTCTCAAAGACAGGCAGATGACATCGTCCCCAGTTTCTAGCTGGAAAAACTGAGGCTCAAAGAGCCTGCAACTCTGGGACTGTTGAGAGGATTATCCCTGAAGTGCTAAGCAGCATAGACCTTGCTGAGCTTCCAAGGCAAGATGAGACCAGGCTTGCCTTGGGGGAGGAGCAGATGGGTCTCTGGTACCTCACATTCCCAAGGGTCTCCCAACCCAGTCCCAGATGGCCTTGGACAGCCAGTCCCATTGTGGGTACTGTCACACCCTAGTCACCTCCCTCAGCTAGCGCCCCAACAAGCCTCTGCTAACTTGCCCCGCCTCCATCTGCTCCTTATCTCAGCATCTTCAACTTGAATAATCAGAAACCGAAGGTTCCCTGCTCTCGATGCCAGAGGGAGGCCCCAGTGAAGGTGCACAGATGGGCAGCCACTTCCCAGGGAGCCCGTCCCACGGGCGCCCCGGCTCACCCATCCCTGGTCCACTCAGTGCCCTCCTGCTTTCCCAGGTGCAAGCCCTGGAACAGCGCAACCAGCTGCTGGAGACCCGCTGGAGCTTCCTGCAGGGCCAGGACTCTACCGCCTTTGACCTCGGGCACCACTATGAGGCGTACCAGGGCCGGCTGCAAGAGGAGCTGCGCAAAGTGAGCCAGGAGAGAGGACAGCTTGAGGCCAATCTGCTGCAGGTGCTGGAGAAGGTGGAAGAGTTTCGAATCAAGTAGGTGGCTTCCAGTGGGGGCCAGAGGCAAGGGCCTGAGGGTGGGGGTCAGGCTGTACTCAGGTGGGACACACTCCAGCCAGAGGAAGGGGCAGGAAGTTATAGAACATTGGTCTTCTTGAGATATTTACTGAGGGCTCATATGTGTCAGATGCCACTCTAAATGCCAGGGATGTGGCAGGGAACCTACAGCTGCCACCCTCCCCCCACTAGCTTACGATACAGACAGTGCTGTGTTGGCTTTTGTATGGCTGGCCCTTGAGTACTGCCATAGCCCTGTTCAAGAGGCCCCACTCTGGTGCTGTAAACACGCTTGCTTGTACCCCACACTGCGCTGGCATGGGGCACAACCACATTCCTAAAATGACAGCTGGGTTTCTGCTCTGAATATGGATTTGGATTTTGACTTCGATTGGCTGGAAAGGAGAGAGAGGCACCCAGTACAGGCAGGGGGCAGAAAGGGTGGGTTTCATCTGAATAAAGAAGCAAAGCCCTGTAGGTGACATGTGTGAGGGATTGAGGGAGCCCGGGAACTGCAGGACAAGGGAAACACAGCCTCCACATACCAAATGTGCTTACAGTTTAGCGAGACACAGACAGGCAAACAGCACATGAGCAGAGCAACCTGATGGTCACAGGCCAGGCCTGGGCACTAGACTGTGGGAGGGTTTAGCCTTTCCCACCACCATCACCTTCGCTAGCTCCTGTGTGAAATAGGAATGGCAGTGATTGATAGCAATCTCAGGAGGCAGGGAGAGGGAGAAGAGAACCCAGCATGGTGCCTGGAATTTATAAATGGCAGCTTTCCCAATCCCTAGAAGAATGAAGTTCCCAGAACACAGTTAGTCTTTGATATGAATTTGCGGGACTGAATTGGCAGGGTAGACCCTTGGGTAGCTCAGGGAAGAGGTGATCCCTTCTGTCAGGCAGTGGGCAGGGCTTCAGGGACACAGAGGCAGAGCAAGGGAGAAAATGTACCCTGCTGCACCCCTCTTTGGGTCTTGTCTGTCTGAGATGGGGCCCCAGCCACAGGAAGGGGAAAACAGATAGTTGAATGCCTCAACCCCCACTACTCCAGGACAGGGCAGCCCAAACCCTGCCAGTAGGAGAGGAAACCTACATTCTCCAGAGCAGCCAACCAAGCAGCCTATCTGACAATCTAGGGGTCTGAGCTGCGGCTTATGTCACCTACTACTTCCCCTGGGCTCTGCCCTCCCAAGTCCTAGGAAACACAGGCCTGACTGCCCATTCAGAAACTCTCAGCTTCTTAACACCTGACCACAAAGTCAGATCAGTCCTTCAGAACCCTCGGCCCCTGTCACCAGTTCCTAGGTCTTTAGCCCTCAGAGAATAACAGAATGGCTGAGTGGGATGCCTTGGTCCTCTTTCCATGAATAACACAGGTCCAGATAGGACAGGGCTTGTTCCTAGCCACACAGCCATGCAGTAGGACATCAGCCCAGCCAGACTGTGCCCACGAGAGCCCTACAGAGCTAGAGTCCTGTACAACCACTACTGGGTGTTTTCCTGTCTCAGCCTATCTGCCACACTAACTTGATGCCTTAAAATCAGGATGTCTCTCCCCCTCTGTGGGTAGGAAACCCACCTCCAGAGGGGCAAGAGAGACTGTGGGTCTACCAGCCAAAGCTGGGGAACACAGCCTGGCTGTGCAGAGCCTGGGGCCCCAGGAGAGGCGGGTGGAGCCCTGACAGGGAGGAGCCGGGCCCTGCCTCTGCAAGAAGATGAGATCAGCCTCACTCCAGAAATAAACAACTTACGGGGGAGGGGGACAGATGTGACAATCTAAAAAGGGCTTAAGACTGGTTTTTGAGAGCTGGTGGCTAGTAGACTGGCAGTGGATTGGGATAAGTGGGGGACAAGCTGTCTCCTAAAGCCTTGGTGCAGATGGAGGCCCCCAAGGACTTCTATGTAGCACGGACCCCACAGATTGGCTAGATTAATGCTTGTCTTACTAAGCACAAAACAAAGAGCCAGCAAGTGGAAACAACTGACTATGCCCACACAGCAAGTGGCTGTGGGATGCCACAGATGCTTGGGCAAGCTGGTGATGGATGAGCCAGCACCCGAGGGAAACGGGATTCAGATACAGCAGAGCATCACACTGTGTGGGCCAAGGCAGGCAACATACTCGCTGAGGAAGGGACCCACCCAGAGCCCAGAGGAGGCTAGCAGAAGCCTTAGAGGCACTGAGGTCCAGCCCCAGACAGGATGCTACGCTGCGTTCCTGCTGTGCCCCCAGCCTCAGCCCTGGGGCTCAGACCAGAGCCCTCCATACCACTCCTGGAGGGCCAGACCCCGCTTGGACTGAAGACCATAAAGAGGCTCTTCCAGCCTGAACTCCCAGCATCCTTCTCTGCTGGGCAGCGTTGGGGATTTGACTTCCCTCTATGCTCCCTTGTGTGTTCCCGGGGCCCTGGAGGGTCTCTATCCAGTAGCAACTCTCCCCATCTCTGGATAGGAAACCCACTTCTGGAGAGGCAAGGGAGACTGCGGGGTCCCCAAAAAGGACACATTGAGGGGTGCGAAGTTCTGACAGGACTCAGCAGCCCCAATCCAAAGTCTGAAGTTTCCTCCTAAGAGTTTTCAGAAGACAGAGCTCATATGAAGTCCGGGAGCAGGCCCCAATCAGAATTACTCAGTGACAATCAGAGCCAGGGTTATAAGACCTCAGCCTGGGAGGGAGAAAAGGGAACAACAGAAGGTGGAAAGGACAGAAGTGTGTGAGGACAGTATTGTGCCCCCAGCACACCTCTCTTTCCAGCTCCTGTCTGCCAGCTGGCAGGACTTGGCTGCCCCTAGGAGGTGGGGCTGAACCACTCACTTGCCTGTGAAAGGTGAGGGGCTCCCTAGCCCTGCCCTAGGGCAAGGCATTCCTCAGAGCCCCCCAGGTCCCAGGAGGAAGCTATACATGTCAGCCCAGTCCTGAGGATTCCTGTGTAGCCACCCCTGCTTCCTGAGGCTTCGCCCCAAGAACACTGGAGGACAGGGCTCCCATGGGTATCAGGGAGCCTTGTAAACACTTTATGTATTAACCCACTCAGTCCTCATGGCACACCATTATCACAACCAAAGCACACCATGGCAGAGGTTAGTCAGCAAGGAAGCAGAATCTGATGTCCTGTTCCACCAACACAGCACAAGTGCCCCTAGCCCTTCTCCAAACCAGTTTCCTCCTCTGTCAAATGAGGATTCACAGGACCTCCCCAGCTGGAGGCTCTGAGGGTCACAGGACAGGTATTGTGGGGGGCTTCCTAGCACAGGACCAACGGTAGCTCACATCACCTGTCACAGGGCATAGTCTCCCTGGTCTGCTCCTCTGGTCAGCACTAGTGATGCGGATGGTCAGAGCCCCCCTCAGACTCTGAACCCAAGGCATGGCCAGGGACCACATCTGTACCCACACCCCAAGATTCAGAGACCATATGCCCTGCGGGACCTGACCTCCCTTAGGTCCACTCTCCCTCAGCTCTTCTGTTGGGCTGGGTGACAAGACATGAGGGCAGGAAGGTCCAGCCAGTAGCACTGTGGCCATGGGGGCTGTGTGATTTGAGACTGGGGTAAGTGGGTGGCTACCCTGAGAGAGACCAGCAATCCAGGCATTCCCAGGAGAGGAGGGAAGGATGCAGAAGCCACAGGCTGGGGTTGGGAGTGTGAGGCCAGTGAGCTGGCCACCTGGCCATGGGGCCAAAGCAAAGTCTAACTGGAAGAAGAGGGAGGGTCAAGGACACAAGACTCCCACCCCACCTCCAACAGTGTCCTTGTTGCAAACACAAAGTGGGCTTGACTAGGGAAGAGACCAACCTGGGAAGAGATCTGGGGCACCCCTTAAAGTATGGACCGCACAGCAGGTACCCCAGCTACGGCAGCCAGGATGGACGTCGTCGACCTCTGTATGCACACATCCCTGGGCACCTGGGGCCCAGCACACACACGAGGAAGCCAGCAGATGAGAGATAAACTTACTCTGCACCAACTCTGTCACTCTGGACAGCGATGGCATCCCACCGGCTATCTATCGAGCAGGGGGAAGAAGGGTGGGGCTGTGGGAGAGAATGCAGGTAGAGGAGGAAGGAAGCGAGGAGGACTCGTGGCAGTGACTGTCTGGAAGGAACCAGAGAGATGAGGAGAGCACCCCAGGCCAGGTGAAGAGCTGAACGAGGTAGTACAGCCAAGCATGAAGAGAAAACCTGGGCAGTCATCAGAAAGAAGCCAGAGAACAGGAGCCACGTGCAGGGTACTAGGCATGCGGCATGAAAGACAGCGCTTTGCACCCCCAAAGGGGGAGCCACTCTCTCTAGTAAGCACAAGGCACAGAATGGGATAGCAGAGGCCCCGAGTCCCATCCAAAGAGAATGACCGAAACCCCAGCTCCTACCGTGTCCCCCTGAGTCCTCTCTTCTCCACCCCACCCAGGTATGAGGAGGAGATCTCCAAACGCACGGACCTGGAGTTCACCTTCGTGCAGCTGAAGAAGGTAAGCTGCCCCCACCTGGGGCTCTCCCTCCCGCTCTGATCCCCTTTCCTTCAGGCTTGTCCAGTTTCCTTTATGCCCGTGCAAAGTCCTCAGAGACAAAAGTCTCAAAAACAAGACACCAGAGTGATGCCTCTGTCCGCATCTTGCTCCTTTGCCCAGGCGTCAGTGCCCTTGGCCCTCCCTCCCTAGCACCCCACCACTCCCTCTCTCCACTTCTCACTGATGTTACTAACACCAGGATCTGGACACTGAGTGCCTCCGCCGGACTGAACTGGAAACCAAGTTAAAAGGCCTGCAGAGTTTCTTGGAGCTGATGAAAACCATTTATGAGCAGGTAAGTGAGGTCTCCTCCGTGGGCAGGGGACCCTGAAAAGAAGGAAGGAAGTCAGAGGGCATGGACCCGTCAGCAGCGCTCATTTCAGGGAATACAGGCAGCTCCCCACAGCCGCTCCCCAGGGATAATGTGTATGTCCTTGCATGTGCTAGGGTGCTAAGGGCATGCAGGGCTTGAGGTGTGTCAGGGCGAGGATTAGAGGCTGGCCTCAACCCAGAGGCCCTGAACAGCTATCCAGATGGAGCTGATCTTGCTAATGCCTGCCACCTAGAGCACAGGTGCACACAGCTCCAGATCTGATGGGCAAGCCTCTCACCCTCCCTGCTTTGGTCCTGGCTCCCAGACAATATTAGCTTCTAACAAAATAACCCAGGACTTGCAGAACAGGACACAGTAGCCTCCAGAACACACTCTCACTTTTCTCCTAAGTCTTCAGCTGCTCAAGGATAGACAATGACCCAGAGAGGCCTGTTGTGTTGCCAGCAGGTCACCAGGGGCCTCTGCTGGCCCCTGGATGCTGCCCCTCCACTCCACTGCTACCTTCTGGGCATCGTGCAGAATGAGCCTTCTCCTCTCTCCTCTGTCTCTCTCTGTCTCTCTGTCTCTGTCTCTGTCTCTCTCTCTCTCTCTGTCTCTCTCTCTGTCTCTCTCTCTCTCTCTCTCTCTCTCTCTCTCTCTCTCTCTCTCTCTCTCTGAGATGAGGGATTCCAAGAGATGCTCTTGTGCTCAAAGGCCCTTGCATGAGTATCTTCTGTATAACTCAGAGTAGGCAGAATGGTGTGTGCTTAAAACTGCTGATGCCAAGAGATGCCCATGTAGCCAAGCTCAGTCATCACACAGTAAAAAGGTCTGCTGTGGGCCCTGCGGTATGCAGACCCCGGCTTCACAGCCTCATCCTGTGGGAGACTAGACTTCATGGCTATGCACAGCCACAATCCTCACAAGTAGGCTCAGCCTGTCACCTGCCTTAACAGCCCTGCAAAGTGCCCTGTCCAGCACAACCTTCCCCAGCCAGGCCAAGCCCTGAGCACTTTCCAAGGCTCCAGGCCCATAGGCTGGCTTACATGGCCTAGGGGTTCCCCTGCCCAAATTCTTTGTGTAGCCCCATGGGACAGGGCTCCCCTCTGCTCCTTCAGCATCTCAGCATGCTCAGAGCTTGAGCTCTAACCCAGGAAAGAGGCCCCAAAATTGTGGAGAGCAGCCAAAGAAACCTCTGAAACCAGGGCCCCCAGGCAGGCCAGAGACACAAAAATTCTTGACCCCTGCCCCAAATGCCAGCCTCATGGACTCTATTTAGACCACTTCTGCTACTTTGGGCAAGCTATGTATCCCCTCAATTTCCTGATCTGCAAAATGGAGAGAGTCACGGTACCAACCTTATAGGCCTGTGATGCAAACTAAGCCCATTTCTTCACTGTACAAGTGTTTGCCACACGCCTATCAGTTGCCAGGCACTGCTACCCAACCGGAGCAAGGCAACTGTATGGTGTCTAGTGCTCCTTTTGGTAGCAGCAAGGTGGCAAATGGCAGTGGAAAGTGAATTCTGTTTCTTTCCATATCCAAGACAGCTTTTTTCTCAAAAGATTCCCCACCCCATTGGATCTTGAAACAACACTAATACAAATGAGGCACAGTTGCAATTTTAAGTTTTCTAGTAGCCACACTTTCAAAAAAGGAAAAAAAATTTGGTAATATAGTTTAGCTCAATACATCCAAAATATGGTAATTTCAATGTGATCAATATAAAAAAAAAGGTTAGTTTACACTCTTTTTCCTATACTAAATCTTCAGAATTAGGTGTGTGGTTTAGGCTCACAGCTCATCTCATTGTAGACCAGTCATGTTATGACTAGGACAGGTTTAAGCAAAGGGAGAGGCCACCACACTTCCACCAGGGCCGCCAGGGTGGAAGAGAAACACGGTGGAGTGTGGGGAGCCTCCGGAAGTCTCACACTCTAGTTTCAGATTTGGATTAAACCAGAAAACAATTGCTGTAAGGCTCATCCTGTGTCCCAGGAAACAGCCCTCCCCTCCCAACACACACACACACACACACACACACACGCACGCACGCACGCACGCACGCACGCACGCACGCACGCGCGCGTGCGCACGCGCACGCGCGCGCATGGCCAGGATACGCACAGAGCCCTTCCCTGCGGGCCCAGCAGGACCCTGAGCCCCAAGACAAAAGCTCACCCTCCCCCTGCCCACTGAGGTACCATCCAGCTCCCGGGCACAAGTGGAACCTGGATGCATCCAGCCTGAACGCAACCTGCCCCACCCATATCTCCTGGTTCCAAGGAGATTAGTTCTGGAATCTGCTGACAACCCCTGCAGCCAGGCACACCTCCTAGGAGCCGATCCCTGTGAGAGAAGCAGCGGCTGGCTAAACAGCACCCCACACTTCACCCCAGCTTCTTCACTTTTATCAGTTACGATAATGTCCTCAGCCAGTGCTTCCTGGGCACCTACTACATTCCAGGCACTGTGTTGAATGCTTTCCTGACTTAATCTTACTTAATTCCCTCAACAAGTCTGAATTAAAGCTACCAATTAAAGAGAGCAGCTTGGAGATGAACGGACTCAGTAACCAGGTGAATAGGAACATCTTCCTGTCTGGCTTGCTCAATCTTCAAAATGAAAAGAATGATAGCAGTACCTCACCAGGCCATTGTGAGGATTTTTTTTACCAAATTCTAAAGCACTTAAAGCAACATCTGGCACTGAGAAAACATCTAATAAACATTAATAATTTTCAGCTATATAATAATACCCATTTCACGGATGATAAAACTAAGGCTCAGAAGGGTTTACAAACTTGTCTAGGGTTACTTGACTAATAAGAGATGGAGGCATTGGAGCTAGGTATTAGCTTAGCAGCATAAGTGCCTGCCTTGCAAGGAGGCAGTCATGAGTTCGATCCCCGATACCAATAAAAAGGAAAAAGACAAAAAAAATTTAAAAAAAAAAGAGAGATGGGGGCATTCAGGGTACAGTGCCCTCAAGCTCTGCAGTTTACTAAGCAGCACTAAGTTACCCCACAGGAGTTCCTGTCTGCACTGTCAGGAGGTACTCAAAGAGGGCAGCCATGCACAGCAGCCTCCTCAGGCTCTGACTACCAGAGAAAGCCCTAAAGTGAACCATGGGCTTAATTCTTGCCAACTTGCAGATAGATGCTGGGGCCCCTCCCAGTGAGGCCCTTCCCCACCACAATCCAGCATTGTTATACCCTCTTCTCCAGAGGGGGGCAGCAAGTCTGGACAGATCTTCAGATGCTGTAAATGCTCCAATTTCTGCTTCTGTTTTCCACATTGTTGCCTGGTCTGCCTCTTTCCAGAAAGGGTGTGAGGCTGCCCCATCAGCTAGATTTCGCAGATTCCTTCACCCCTGTGGCATCTCTTGGCAGTACCCTGCCTTTTCCTGGGCCATATCAATTGCCAAATCCAGCCAGGACTGAAAGCACCACTGGGCTCTATCCAGACACCCCCATACTCACTGGTCCCCACACCACAGGGGTAAAAGGAGGGTGAGCTGTGAGGCCATGGAGACGTAGTCTGGAGCAAACCTCGGGGAAGCAGTAAGCTTTCCAGACCCTCTGAGAACAGGGAGGGGAAGATGAAAATGTCATCGTATTTGGGGGCAAGCTCCCCGCTGCTAGAGGAGGTCTGGGCTGAACCTAACATCATAGCAGCCCCTCTGCCTCACAGAGCCTGTACCCATTTTCAATAAGCCAGAGAGTGGGGTGCAGGCTTGCCAGCCTCAAGCCCCACCCTGCTCCTCCATAGCAGCCTTTATTCCAAACTGAGGTGCCACCTGGCCAGGTGTGGGTCCCAGACACTGGCATGGCTCTGCCAGGCCCTCGGGGAGCTCCCATCCAGTGGGGAGCGGAGGCCTACCTCCCTGGGCCCAGCCTCGGAGTGGGCAACAGAAAGACAGTGAGGGAACCAGCATGGGGTGAGGTTCATGGAGTGGGCCCCTGGAGCTGCCCCTTCCTACCATCCTCGCCTTGATCAGAGAAATGGAAAACGGCTGTGTGAGCAGAGGGCAGTGGGCGGCCCCCTGGCACCCTAAGAGTGAGGATTGAAGGGAAGCAGGAGGGGAGCAGCGGCCCCGCTCCACCACTCCTGGGAATGGAGGCTGAGGCCTGTCTGAGGACCCCTGGGCCCTCCCCACTGGCCCTAAACCCCCACATCTGTGTCTGTCCAGGAACTGAAGGACCTGGCAGCCCAAGTGAAGGAGCTGTCGGTGACTGTCGGCATGGACAGCCGCTGCCACATCGACCTGAGCGGCATTGTGGAGGAAGTGAAGGCCCAGTACGACGCCATCGCGGCCCGCAGCCTGGAGGAGGCCGAGGCATACTCGAGGAGCCAGGTCGGGTCTCAGGGTGCAGGGTGGGACAAGAGGAAACACGGGGCTGGGGGCAGGGCAGCAAGGGCAGGCAGGCATGGAGCATGTGAGCTCAGCCCCTGCCCGGGGCAGCAGGAGAAAAGGAGGCCACAGTACATGAGCTTCCGAAGGTCAGAGTCCGCCTACCAGTACCAAGGCTCTCCAACCAGCAGGACCTGGAGGGGCAGAGGGAGGTGGCAAAGGGGTGGGCTGCAGAGGTAAAGATGGGGCTGGGGGCTGAGAGAAGCAGGCCAAAGGCAAGGAGTGTGACTTCCTCGTGCCCTGACAGCTGGAGGAGCGAGCTGCTCGCTCAGCCGAGTATGGCAGCACCCTCCAGAGCCACCGCTGCGAGATTGCTGACCTCAACGTGCGCATCCAGAAACTTCGGTCCCAGATCGTCTCCATCAAGAGCCACGTGAGTTTCTGCAGGACCCATACTCATGCGCACTGAGTACACACAAGACCCCACAGAGTCCCTGAGCAGGTTGACTAGGGCCTCTGTGCCTCAGTTTCCTGACCTATCAAACAGGACTGTGGCACAACTTGCTTAGGCTCTGCACATGAGCACTGCACAGAAACGAGCTCTGTAAGTGGGCCAGAGCTGCTTGGACCCAGAGCTCCCCACCACGTCACCCCCTTGCCTCCCTGCTACCCACTCCAGCCATACCAAGAAAGGAATGGAGGGCTGAGTCACTGGCCACCGGGAAGCACAGCTGGGTCAGCCTCCTTTGGTGACTGCAACACTTCACGCTGGCCAAGGAAAGGGTCTCTGATGAATTCCTGCTTGCTGCATTGCAACCTCGTATGCAGCCAGGAATGCCACTGCTTAGCCTTCATACACACCAATGACAGGCGACTGCTGGCTGCAGCCCCCTCCCTGACCCCTCCCTCCTCACCACCTCCTTTCCTCTGTCTTGTGGGCTGCAGTGCCTGAAACTGGAGGAGAGCATCAAGGCAGCAGAGGAGCAGGGCGAGCTGGCCTTCCAAGATGCCAAGGCCAAGCTGGCCCAGCTGGAAGAGGCCCTGCAGAAGGCCAAGCAGGACATGGCCCGGCAGCTGCGGGAGTACCAGGAGCTCATGAATGTCAAGCTGGCCCTGGACATCGAGATTGCCACCTACCGCAAGCTAGTGGAAGGCGAAGAGAACAGGTATGGCCCAGGCAGGATAGGTGGGGCTGCAGAGGGCTGCGCCCCAGGCCACACAGGTCAGCCTTCCCTCCAGTGTGACACAGGGGACCTAGCACAACTGTATTGCAGGCCTGGTTCAGTATTTGCTGAGATCTTGCCCTAATGCATTAAACCCTCCATTTGCCCTTTGGAAACCTCTGGATTTATCAGTTGTGAGGAAAGTTAATATGACCATGCATACAAATATACATCTACTTATATGCATTTATATGCAAATGTTAGCCATTTATACAGATGAAAGAAGGGGCGGGGCCAAGTTGGGTAGCCAGTGTCACACAACAGGGCAACTCCAGGGCTGAAAGTGACAACCAAGAATTGCCCTCAACCTGCCAGCCCCCAGCTCCCCACCCCAAAGGAGCTAAAGCCACGGGCTGCCTCCACATTCTGCCATGCTCCCCCTCCCCCAGGATGGACCTGCCCTCCGCCTCTGCCACCGTGGTCAGCACCGTGCAGTCCTGGCCCAGAACCAGTAAGTCAACCTGCCCAAGAGCGATGGCAGGGAGGGGCACGGGGTGAAGGGATCATGACTCTAAGGGCGACATTTCAGTCACTCTCAGACCTCCAGCCCCTCCCTGCCCTACCTCTTTTGTCCCCTGTAGAGTCCCCCAAGCCAGGCCTCTCCAAGGCCCCCTCCAGAAGGAAGAAGAAGAGCTGCAGAGGACCAGTAATCCAAATCACCGAAATGTCAGAGAAGTACCTCTCTCAGGAGTCGGAGGCCTCAGAGTAAGGCAGCTGGACCCCAGGAGCCCCAGGAAACTCCGACTGCAGCGGGAGGGACTTAAACTAGACTCAAAAAAAAAAACATTCAGGAACTCCAGGTTGGCAAGGGACACAAACCCTGATACTGACCTGAGAGTCCCAAACTGGGACTGCTATTTTATGGGTAAGCGCCAGGGTAAGCGCCACCAGCTCCACTCTGACTTTGTTGTCCCAGTCCTCTCTTCCAACCTGCTGGTCACAGGTTTTCTCTGCTGAGTAAACTGGAACTTGAGGGGTCAGTTTGTGTCCACCTCTCACTCTTCTGAGGCTCTTCTCCAGCATGGGCTCTCACACCAAGGTGCTTCAGTTCTTTTGCCCAATGCTTGCCCTAAACTCCTGTTTAAAGCCTTGCCTTGCCTGTGCCTCAGAACTGAGGCTGGTCCCAGTGCCCTTGCCCAGGCCTTGGAGGGGCTGGGAGGACCACTTGGTCCTATGCCATGTCTGGGCTTCCCAAGGAGGCTGGTGCTGAGGATCCTTGGCTTTCCTGCACTTGGGCTCCCCTGACAGTATTAGGGACTAAGGGGAGAAGGGACCCTGGCCACTCAAGACCTGAGCCTGGACCTTAGATCAAACTGGATGCCTGTGCCCTGCTGTCCTCCTGTGGGCCCCTCCCAAGACACCACAGTCAGAAACAGGCAGGTGCCTCCAGCCAGCTCCCCCACCTCTCCAGAAGCTCCTCCTGCCGTGGTCTCCTTCCTGCACTTCTGGGCTGAGTGTTCTGCCCCCAGCCCAGGTCTCTCCTAGCCTCGACACCTGGCTCTGGTGCACTGGGCCCTTCGGACTCCTAGCCCCATCCTCGTGGTAAAAGCCCAGGCCACTTTCCCTGACTTCCGCTTCTCAGGGCCCTGTTCTCCTCCACACTTAGCCAAACAGCCTAGCCCTCCCCTCTCTGCATTCACTGAAGAGCCCAGGACACCCACCCCAAGGACTTACATCTTCTTTTCTTCCCTTCTGGCCCCTACCCTTCCCCATGTCCACTCTCCTTACCTGCAGCAGGCCATGAGGACGGGAGCTTCTGAGCCCTGATTTGGCCTGGAAACCCCGTGACCCCTTAAAAGGGCTCAGCCAAAGAGAAAACTTCTAATCCACAGGCAGACCTGGGATTGGTAGGTATGTTCCTGGCCCCTCTCTGGGGAAAACCAGCAGTGCCAGCATCACCTCCTCAAGCCTCTTCCCCTCCCTCTGCCCCAGCTACCCCTTCTCTTGCCTCTTCTTTTAGCCTGTCTGATCCCTTCATCACATTTTCCAGGACAGAGTGGCCTAAGTCCTTGACCTCACCTAATCCCCAAGGCCCTAGAGGCCTGCAGGGTTGCTGGTGGGCTATCAACTCTCAGGCCAAAGGAAACTCAGCCAGGTATTCATCCCTGAGGTCCCCAAACAGGGTGCTGATTGCTGCTTTCTTCTCGGGCTATTTATTGGTTTCCAAGGGAGCAAATCCTCAGTGGGAATATGAGATATGTAAAGTATATATTATTTTTTCATAACTTATGTGGCTTTTAACTTATTGCTTCCCTTCCTGTCTCTGCATGATCAGTGCTGTGTACTATCTGGACTTTAGACAACACATGTGCCAGCCACCCCACCTGACTGGGAAATGTACCCCCACTCCCTGCCAAGGGATGAATAAAGTGTTGAGATTTTTGTCCATGGATGAAACTGCATCTGCTTTACATCGTCTCTGGTCAATCAGACTGAGCACAAGATATTATAGATTCCTTCTGTCTCTTGTGGGGGAGTCTAAAGATCTCGACCCATCTGTGTTTCTAGATGTGATCCTCAGCTGGTTCAAGGGGCTACAGTGACACAAGACAATGTCATGACAGAGAGGTCTGGGCTAGGGGAAGTAAATTCCAAAGGAGTCTCTATTATAATCCAAATATTAAGTATTGTAATCTAAGTATTATAATCCCTTTTCTAATCTGCCTCACAACGGAAGATTTTACTTGTAATCCCATAGAAATGTTATTGGAATCCCAGCAAGTTAATTCCAATCTACCACCTCCAGTGTAACCCATGGTGAGAATAAAGACACCAAGAAATCCAAAGTTATGGGCAGCCAAGGGTCCTAAGTCCCATCCAAGTGAGGATATGTGGACAGAATTTATTATCTTATAAAGATGGAAGTGGCTCAAGGATGATGGGAACTACGTGACTGACAAGCTGGGCAGGTGGGGAGAAAAGCATCTCTGCAAAGTGCAAGGAGAGAGATAAACATAAATACCAGTCTGCAAGTAACTCAACTGGGATAAGCATATGAATGAATCCAGGAGGCTGTTGCTTCAGTTTCTGATTGTAAACTTTTGTACCCTGGGGAGTCATAGCCTATTTCAAGGCTCAAACCCAGCTGACATTCCTGGAGCTGACTGACTCTGCCATCCACTGCATTCAACACAGTTCGAGGAAACAGGAAACGGTCAGAGTAGCCTTAAAAATGACAGACGTGGGGGCTGGGGATTTAGCTCAGCGGCATAAGCACCTGCCTTGCAAGCAGGCAGTCGTGAGTTCGATCCCTGGTACCGATAAAAACGAAAAAGACCAAAAAAAAAAAAAAAAATGACAGACGTATCAGTACTTCAGCTGGCCTTATTTGCATTGCTCAGAACCCAATGAAGAGAAGGAAACACCACAGCCAGCCCTGGACAAATCAGTGCCTAGAGACAAAACTCAATTTAACCAATGCTGAAGCAATTGTTCTATATTCCAGGGGAGCGGCTCACATTGTCTCCTTCAAGTCCCCACCAAGTCCCCACCAGATAAATGGAGGGTGTACAGCAGATAAAGATGTTAGTAAGTTTCGTATCCTGGTCCACGGCACCACAACTCCCAGGCAATGATAGTAAGGTTTATCTTCCCACACTGGCGCCATGCCCTCTCAGGACGCTGTTGGCTGCTACAGGAAGGCCAGGGCCATTCAGGTAGCCCTCCCTTTTCTCCCCTTGGAATCATCATTATGCCACGCTGGGATATTTGGGGGCCTTATTGTCTTTAACTCTTCTGGTCGGCACCGTGAAACGCCCGGAAGCCACAGCAGTGATTGGGATTGAGGCTGCTTAGTCTTGGGCACATAGTTCTTCAGGGTATGCAGTACCAGCCCATCAATTTGTTGTGACGCTTTAGAGAGATGATGCATGATAGAGGAATTTAGCTCCACGCTAAGCACCCAGTAAGTGCTTGATAACAACGACAGCAAACACTGATTCTGAGACGTTCCCCCCTACCCCCGGCAGGACTGATATCTGCCCTCTCCTGCATCAGGGGGGCCTGACTTTTGGCTCAGCTTTACCTGTTCCCCTCCTCCCCAGGAGCAGCAAAGAGAGTTTGAGGGAAACTGAGGATTAGAGAGGTAAAGGAAGTGACTGCCCAGGCCACATTCCATTGAGGAAAGGTCAGCCGGCTGGGGCCTGCCCGGCCACGCGGACCACTGCCCTCTGCTGGCAAAGGCGAGAACGTTCCCAGCGAACCAGCTTGCCTTCCTCTCTCCTAGACCAAAGGGAGGGAAGGAAAGAGGTGGGGTGAGGTCGCTAAATTCTAAACCTAGGACTCCGGTTCCGTCACACTTGGCTCAAATTTTAGGTCTCAGCTCTGAGAGACCGTAGGGCTGAGCACCTTCTCAACCCACCCCGTGCCCCCTTCCCTGGAGGGCTGCTATGGCCTACTGACCTCAGTCTCTGACCCCCACCCTAGAACTGGCCCCTCACTTTCCAGGTCAAGGTCAAATGTCAAGTCCTCCAGAGACCTCCCTAAGTCCCCTAAGTCGCCCCACCTGTCTCCAATAGAGGACACAAGGAATCTTGCCTCACTGATGCCGGAAATTGAAACTCAGGCAACAGTATGAATCCACAGACAAAAAGCTTTGCCTAAGAAAAAAGAGGAAGAGACTTTAAAGGAAGAGAGACGAAGGAGACACAAGTCTGACAGAGAAGATCAGATTGGCCCATCAGCCAAAGGATGAAATAGTTTCTATGGCTTCCCAGAAGAGAGCTAGGGGCCAGGAATTTTGCACGAGCGCAGCATTTTTCCTTGTGTTTTGGGAGACTTCCTCCCTGTGGGCTGTGGATCGAGGCCACCGCACCCTGGGAGACATCCTGCTGTGTGTCCTCCTCCTCCCCCTTTTACAGTGGACCTGGTCTCTGTAATAAGGGTAAGGGGTCCGGGGCGTACGGTTCGTACATGGCTAGCAAGGCAGGAGGGAGGACAAGAGACACATCTTCCTGTTTACCGGGCCGCAGGTCACAAGTGAAGGCCGAGACACCTCCATCTCTTGTCCCCCACAGGGATCGCTGTCCGACTTCACTTCCACACTTCTTCCTGGTCCTGCCTTACTGCCGTCCTGGGCTGTGTGCCCTGCTGCACTGGCCAAGCCTGCCAAGTGATACCTGCTGACTTTTCCTGGGTACGCCAGGTGGCATCCACTCAGCAAAGGAGAATCCAGCAGAGGGACTCAGGGTGGGAACTGGGAGCTGGGACACGGAAAGCAGAGGGGTAGCACTGTAACACGCTAGGTTAGAAACGCAGGAGACAAGACCAGCCTTAGATGGAAAGAGGATCCAGGGGCCAGGCAGAGCTGAGTGCCTGGTTCTTAGACTTGGGGCAGCAAGATTAGAGAAATAAAAGTTTCTCAACTGGAACTAAAAGACTGGGTAATCGTCTGGACAAGGGAGCCCAGTTCATGTGGGTCTGCAGAAGGTGGACAGATGTGCTGCATGGTGCCCAGGGAGAGTATATATGTCACATGCAAGTTCCCTGCCAGGGCCCTCTGTTCAGAATCAGTAGACACTGCCCCTTCTCGGCCAGCTTTCTTATTTTTCTAATGTTTTCGAGGAGAAAAACCTACCCCACTACGCCCCCACTAAGGTATGAGATTTTGGTCATGATAGCCACTCAATTTCTACCCAGAGTAGAGCCAGAATTTGAGTGTGGTGACACACACATGAAATCCCAGCACTTTAAAAGACTAAAGCAGGAGGACTGCACGTTCAAGCCCAACTTGGGCAACTTAGCAACTGACCAACACCTTGTCCCAAACGTTAGTAAGTAAATAAATAAGTGGCTAAGGACGTAGCTTCGGGTTCAAGCTCCAGTACAGCAAAAAACCAAGAGCCACAGGGCTCCTGCCCCACTCCCATGCCCACAGTGGTACTAGCATGGCACAGCCCAGCCCTGAAGCCAGCCCCCTCCTGTCACGAGCTCTTCATGAAGGAAAGGAGAGGCCTCAGGCCACACTCAGCACTCACTGGACAAGCAACTACTGATCCTCTTGTGTGCCAGGAATGCTCTTGGCCCTGGGGACAGGCAGTGAAATTCCTGGTCTCCTGGAGCTCACATCTCATGGGGAAAGACAGACCAGAAAGAAATGCAGTGGTATGAAGTATGCAGTCAGACAGATGGCCAGAAGTGCCGGGAGGAAAACTAGAGCAGAAGGCTCCGTGAGGAGCGCGGAGAGCAGCCCGATGCACCAGGAGGCGAGGAGAGCCTCCCGAAAGGACAAGGGGCAACAGCAGGAACTGGAAGGCCACCCGCAGGGGCCAGACTGTGCCAGTCTCGTGGCCACTGCTAGACTTCATCCGACTGAAGAAGAGGCCTCAGAGCCGAGGAGTCTGGGCCTGACCTCCAAGGTAAGCAGCAGAGGCTCAGAGCCACATAGGGGTGTCTGGAATGTTCCAAAACTGCATGTGACCTGCAGTAAAAGACAGAAAGGACCTTTTTTGCCCATCTGTTTTTGTCCCATAATTTTCATTTCAAAGAAACAAAAGGAAGCGTGGTTTGCACTGTGAGTCGGTGGGACATGCCTCCCCCACCAACATGTCAGCTCCAGGCAGTGCCACCATGACAAAGTGCTTATCCCCATAATCCCCAGCCTTGTAAAGGGCCAGGCACCCTGCGGTGCTCATTAAACACTCACTGAGATGGGTGCAGACACACCGGAAATGAAGATGGCCCCACACTGCCCCACTTCCGGACAGGCAGAGTGAATGTTTAGGTCTGACCCAAAGTCAGACTCCAGAGTCCTGGCCTCATTGTCACCCAAGGCCTGCTCACTCTGCTCACCAAAGGGACATGCAGACTCTAGGGTTACCCAGGGCCTCAAAGCACCAACCTAGAGCCTCAGGGGAATTGGCTGCCTGGGGAGATTTTTCTCTGTCTCTCTCTCTATTTCAGGAGTGTGTGGGAGCAAAGTGTGAGTGCACCACTTTCTCTCTCTCTCTCTCTCTCTCTCTCTCTCTCACACACACACACACACACACACACACACACACACACACAGGTGGGTGTGCACCTGTGTTTCAACCACGCCTATGCCGCCGATCCCCACATCCACAGTCTCCGAGCGCCCCCTGCCGACCTCTGTCACATCTACCCTATCCCTGGGGGTTAGAACAATCCCAGGAGCAGCTGCTGGAGTTAGGCTTTGGCCTGAGCCCTTTTCTTGGCTGCTGTGACCCATAGGGGAGACTTAGCATTCCCACCTTGGACATTCTCATCTCTCCATTCCCCCTGGTGTCAGGGAGGACCGCCTGGCACATAGATATGCAGACAGAGCATACATGTGTCTTCCCCAGGCCAGGGCCCCTTCAGAGCATTTCTATAGGTACTAGGAGCTGAATCTGCATGACACAGATAGAGAGGGCAGTGCCAGGCCTCCCTGGACAGAGCAC